TACACGGATGCGCCAACTCATGTTGAGGCCAAACATTCAAGTGAAACATTTTTTTCTCCACCAGTGCTCGGCTGACCCAACCGCCCGTGGGTTGGTTACCCGTGTCATGCGCGCGACGCATGGAAACCGTGAGGAATACGAATGCACCAACTCATGTTGAGGCCCAGAATGCCGCTGAAACAACTTGTTATTCTGACCCCGTTTTTCTGGTGACCCACCCGCTGGTGGGTCACGTGTGCGGCGCGCTACAAGGGACACGTGCGGAGTACGGATGCGTAAATTCATGTTGAGGTCCCGGATGGCCGTGAAACATCAGGTTTTTCTGAAACCGTTTTCGGGTGACTCACCCGATGGTGGAACATTTGTGCGGTGCGCGCTACAAGCGGGGACCGAGTGGAGCACGAATGCACCAACTCATGTTGAGGTCCCAAATTAAAGTACAACGATTGTTTTTTTGTTTGTGTTTTTTGTCAATTGGGTTCTCTGGTGACTCCACCGGCTGGTGGGCCACATGTGCGGTGCGCGCTGCACACAGGAAGCGTGTGGAATACGAATGCACCAACTCATGTGCAGGCCCAGAACGCAAGTGAACCATTTGGTTTTTTCAACCTGTTTTCGGATGACCCACCCGCTGGCGGGTCACGTGTGCGGCGGGCTACACAGGGGAAGCGTGTTGAATACGAATGCCCAAATTCATGTTGAGGCTCAAATTGCCAGTGAAACAATGTTTTTTCTCAACGAGTTTTCGGGTGACCCGCCCGCCTGTGGGTCACTTGTGCGGGTACGCAGGGGGTGGTCCTCGAGCGCAGTCTCTATCCACGCCAAGGTCGCAGGACGCGGCAGGCGTGGCCTTGGGGTGCGCAGGACTCTGCCCCTGAACGCGGAGCGCCGGAGCGCCAGGGCGGCCGCGGGGACGTCCCCAGCGGTCTGATTTGTCCCGCCTCTCCTTGACAAGAATATGCGCTTTACGCCGCTGGTAATAGCTATCTCTTGAGCTGTCCCGCAGATTTTTTAAAAGAAGAAAATGCTGTATTCAGACATTACAAGGTCTTCACGTTGTGAGCGCGGTCTCCGCCTCCCTCGCGCTTCCCTCCGCTCTGTCCAGTTCTTCCGTGCCCAATTCGCTTGCCCGTGTGCCGCACGCCTGCTTACCGCCGCTGGGTTGTTCACGACCGCCAACCGAAACAGGTTCCTGCGCGTCCTCTCCGCAATTGCGATCGAAACTTGACAGCAGGACCTTGTGTGGGCAATCACTGTGCTCGCTCTCGTGCTTGGTTCTGAAGCTCGGCGTGGCCCCCGCCGCCGTTTGCCAGACTGGTGTCCGTCGGGTGCCGCCGCATGGATCAGAGGGTGAAGTCCGACTCCAGAGTGTGTGGTGGTATCGGAGGCGGCCCATCGAGCATCAATCATTTGCAGTAGTATAGATCTTCAGAGGTCCGCGCGGATTTGTGGGGTCGGCGGTGGACGCCCTGCTGGCGGCAATGCTGGGGCCAGCCCGACAGATCCGCACGGACACTTGAAAGCTTATGCATGTGTCGCCGCGCCGTTCCAGCGCGCGACCTTCCGTTGTGGGGAGGGCGCCGCAGCCACCAGTGCAAACGCCGCCTCTGACATAGCTGCCGTGGGTTTGCCGCGGTGCCGAGTTCGTCTCGTTGGGCGCTGGGCGCAGGTCTCGACGTGGGTTTGCCGCGGTGTCGGCGTCGTCCAAGTGGGCGCGTTGAGAATTCACGGCGCGGCGACATGGGCCGTCCGTTGCCCTTCCTTCCCAGGCGATTTCCGGAGGGCTGCGCCTCGACAGAAGCCGCAGGGAACCGTCCTTCCAGCCCAGGCCCGCAGATGGCAAATTTGCACCGCTTTGTCTTGCCGGGGCCGTCCTGGGCGCCCCGGCCTGGACCGTGAGGGGCGCGCAAGCACCATGCCGGGGCCGCCGATGGCCCTGCCCAGGCGCGGCGGAGGTGGTGTGCGGGCGCTTCCCGCGCGCCGGGGCATGCGCCGCGGTCCAAGGCCACCGCGTGCGCGCGGCTGGCGGGGACAGGCCCCGCGAACTCCGCAGGATCAGGCAACGGGCAGGTCGGGTGCTCCAGGATGGATGCCGTCTTCGAGGATCGGAGGAGTCGGCGTCTCTTCCTCGGCGGAAGGCGGCGGAAGGTCGGCGGAAGTAGAATGAGGGCGGCTCCGCCGGCGGAGGCGGGCGGAAGTAAAAGATGCGCCACCAGGAGATGGCAACGTGTTTGGGTCCAGGGCCTCCGGAATCGACCAGATGCTTCCGCGTAGGCGTCGGCCAGTGCGGCCCAGGCCCCGCCAGTAAGGATAGGGATCGGCGACACGATGCTCCGGGGCGCTTGGGCAAGCCCTGGCCCCGTTCTTCGACCTACCCCCCAGGGCTGGAGCAGGTGCCCAGCTCGAGGGGGCAGGCGGTCCACCTAGCGGCTCATCTAGCGGGCAGGAGGTGTCGCGCGGACGGGAGTGAAAAGTTCCAGAGCGTTCCCGAACGCTCTCGGGGCGCTCTGGAACTCCGTGAGAAGGCCACAGCGCCCGATACATCCTCCAGAACCGCCAGATCTTCGAGATCTCCGATCTACCCTTGTCCGATGTTGTCTCTGTCCTGGCTTCGTCTTTCGGCGGCCAGTCCTCCGGGGAGCAACGCGTGGAGCGGATCCTCGAGCAGAGCGGGGCGGAGTGGGCCCTCCCCTTCCGCTGTGTGGTCGCGGCCTGTGCCCTCGGGCGGCGTTGCCCTTGGCCAAGGAACCCTGGCCGACGACGGCGAGGCGACAGGGTGGCATGCCAGAGGGCGCCCGGAGGAGGGCGGGAGGAGGCGGCCAGGATGAGACTGAAGAGGATGAGGAGGAGGAGGAAAAGCTCCTTGGGAACTCTTTGGATCGTCAGCCAGTCACGTGCCAGTGTAGATCTGGCCACCATTGCACTGCGACCCATCATTGCGCTGCGGCATGGCGCCTGGCGGTCACACATGCCCCTCGTGGGGACCTCATACTGGCCTCGCGCCCGGCCATACTGGCTGGGCCCGCCTGCTCCTACTTGACGGGCCTCTCGCCCAACCGAAAGCCTGTTTAGGCCACGGGGCAGAGCTACTCTGCCAGCCGACTGAAGCAGACCACCGAGCGCGAGCCGACCGACTTCCCCCCGGCGCCCGAAGCCAACGCCTGGCGCCTGGGGTGCTTGACACGCGTGCCGACCGAGTGCACAGAGTTGCGCACGCGTACGCACGAACATCGCCGTAAGGGCACGCTGCCCTTGTTTTTGAAAACGCACAGAAACGGCCTTGAAACCCGCCCGTACGTCTTCCGTTTATCACTGCTGAGGGTTAGCTCATTGGCGCGGCCTCTCAGCCGAATTCGAACGGGTACTCGAGGATGTGGGAGACACCGACGTCAGCCTGGGGCGCGGCGGCTGCGGCTGCGGCGCCTTGTCCTGCTGCGGCTGGGGCTCCTTGTCCACGAGGCTGGGCGCGAAGCGCTGGAAGCGCGTGTCGAGTTCGTCCAACTTGTCGCCAACCTTCCAGGGTGGTGCACGATTCCTGCTCCTCTCTCATGTGGCCGACGGAGTTGGAGTTCCTGCATTTCTTCAGCTGGTCTCACTTCCCAGACTGGCGGTCTGGCGGTGCTAAGGCAAGGCGCTGGTTCGCGCAGGACGTGATGTTGCCGTATTTCTACACAACATCAAAATTCCCATGTTGGCCCCTCGGGTGGAGGAGGAGGAGGAGGAGGAGGAGGAGGAGGAGGAGGCACCAGAGGATGAAGACGCCGAAGGGGCGGAGGCTGTAGCCAGGAGGCGGCCGGAGAACGACGGCAATCTCGTCGCTCCAGGCCTCCACAGAAGAGCTTTGAGGGCGCGGCTCAGTGAGGGCTTCCCACTGAGGACGATGAGGACAGGCCTGACGATGCGGAGGAGGTGTGGTTGTGCGTTCCTCTCCAGGCCTGTGGGGCGGCGCGGGAAAGCAAAGGCGGCCACACGCTTCGCGCAGCCCGAATCGGGACGTCGAGTGGCCTTGGTGGTCCAACACGTGATCAAGATTGGTGAGCACGTGTGCGAACGAGAGCACGGATTCGTCCCAGCGCCCACTCGACTAGGTGCGAGAGTGACCTTAGTGACCTTCTGGTGCGGGCCCAACGGGGTCCCCCGATCGCCGAAGACGAGGCGGCCGTGGCGTCTTGCGCGCTTGTGTTTGGCCCCACCCCCCTGCGGCCTCCAAGAGGCCACGGACCGAAGGGCACTCAAAAGGGGTCAGTCTTGCGTGTAGCCGACCCACGACGTGCGGGCTTGGCAGGGCAGGGCAGGGGAGGAAGAGAGGCGGACACCAGGGAGGGCAGGCGGAGGGTTGATTGGGTCAGCGAAGGAGAAGCGGAGAGGAGAAGGTCAGACGGAGACGAGGAGCAGAAGGGAAGGACGAGGAGGAGAGGCGGCAGAGAATCATGTTGAGGCACATGAGGAATATAGGGAGGAGGAAGAGGAGAGGAGGAGGACGACGAGGAGGAGGAACACATGGGGATGACATGAGGAGGAAAAGGGGGAAGAGAAGATAACCATAATTAATTGTCTGCTGCTCGTTTGTCTGCTGTGTTGCGAGCTCCAACTGTTCCGACCCGCCTCTTCCCCGTCGTTATTCAGCCCTGTTGCTTATTTGACATCGGGTGTGGACATCAGTCGAGTTTCAGAGGTGAAATCATTGCCTATCCAATTCAATGTTGTACTAGTTGTCAGTGCCTATCACTATCATGTTCTCTCTCTCTCTCTCTCTCGTTAACTTTCCATCTCTCTTTTTGAAATGTATACGTACCGAGGTTTCGTTGTCTCCTTTCCAGATCTACACATGTCTTCATCCTTTTCTCTTTTTCTTCCACACCCCCTTCTGATTTCTTTGTCTCCTGCTCTCTTCCCCCTCTCCTTCGCTATACGCTTTATTGTTTGTTTGTTGTTATCTCTCTCTCTCTCTTTCCCTCCATTCTCGCACTCAGACAGTTGTTCCCGACCGCCCTCCACAGATGAATACCGCCGACACAACTGCGGACATAATCCAATCGGTTGGTCTCCGGGAGTGCCTCACGAACATCGGCTACGCCGCCCAGGACGTTCGGGTCTTTGCCAAACAACGTTAAGAAATTCTTGACGCTTCGCGTATCCCCGCCATCGCCTTGCCTGTTGTAGCTAATTAGCTCCGCTTGCTGGCCCAGACGACGCCTACCGCTCCCTGTCCGCCGCCTCGGAGCCGCCGACCAAAAAAAAGTATCCCCGCCAGTCCATCCAGAAACAGATCGCCAGGCAAGTTTCCTTGATCGGGGCAGTGTAGAAGCATGCAGTGTAACAACCGCCTTCGAAGCGTTTTCTCGGAGGTCTCCTGGAACCATCTTGGGGCTCTCTGGGTGCCCTCGCGGAGTGGAGTCTCTTGGGGCACTCTTGAGACCCTTTGAAGGCTCTCTTTGGGCTTTCTTGGGGCCCTCTGAGGGTTCTTTTTGGGGGGGTCTGGAAGGCCTCTTGGGGCCGCCTCGGGCCCCAGACCTCAAAGAGAGGGGGGTCACGGATTCAGGTCCCCCCCCGAAGCTAACCAACGACGTCTTGAGGCCCTCTTGCGGCGCTCTTGGGCGCTCCTGGGGTTGTCTTGGGGCTTGATTGAGCCCCTCTTGGGCCTCTCTTGGGCCATCTTGGGGCCATCTTGAGGCCTCAAGAGCCCATCAGAAGCGAGAAGGCGAGAAGGCAAAACACATGAATTTGCCAGATGTTTTGGAGCCATTTTGAATTCTTGGGGGGGGTCCTTGGAGGGATCTGGAGGGCTCGGAGGGCACTTTGAACTGCCTCGGGGTCGTCTCGAGGCCTCTTGGATGTGTGTCAGAGGCTATGTTGAAGCATGCTGAGGTATCTTGAGCCATCTCGGAGGTCACCTTGCACTTTCAGAGGCCCTCATTGGGCCATCTTGGGCCATCCCGGACGCTCTAACCCCTCGGGCCCCTCCCTCCCAGGTCCAGGGGAGGGGGAAGGAGGAGGGGTAAACCATCCCCCGAGCAGGGGAAGGAGGGGCTGTTGGAATATAGAAGACAAAGTTCGTTAAACCACCTACTCCCAGGGCGCTGGTGGGATGTGTTCGCTCCCTGTTCTTTCTTCCTTCATCTCTCCCTGCCCACCTCCCCCCATGCCTCCCCAGTCTCGGTTCGAGGGTCTCTGCTCCAGCGCGCAGCCATGACACGACGCGCCCAGCACTTCCGTTGATCACATATCGAGACCGGACACATGGCACCACAGCGTGTGACTGATGTGTGTCAAAACCAAACACGTATCCGCGCGAGCGCGCCATGGCTCCGAAAGGTCCGCGCCGCGCGCCCCCCATCACCACGGCAGCCCAAACCACCATGCAAAGACCGCCAAATGGCAACTTGACCCGACAGCAACCAATCCCGAATGGAAGCTTGCGTCGCCGCCTTCCAGAGCGAACAGTCGCTCACAATCATCACGACTTCGATACCATGTACCAGCAGCGCCGCTCCGACCAACGCAGGGTCAGAAGCGAGCTAACTAGATTGTGCGGAGAATCGAGATGAGCAACGCCATGCTGCGCTACTCCCTCTCGCACAACAGCGCCTCGTAACGTGACCCACCAGGAGTCGCGGCCGACGCCGGTGCCTACCAGGCCAACACAACGCCCGTCTCATCAGCCCCGACAGGCAAACAGCTCGACGACGATCTCGCCGACGCGTTCACAGCGGTGTTCACGCCCCACTCCGCACCGCTCCAGTCGAAGAAGGCACGGGGCCCCACAGGTCGCCATGGCGCGGCAGTAGGCAAGCGCGGCTACATTTTCGGATCCAACCAGCTGACGTGCCCATGGCTCTCGTGAATAAATAATAAGCATTTTTTGTCCATGGCTCTCGCCGCCTCAGGGCAAGGAGGTATCCAGGTTGATATTGGCTCCCGCGGCACCAAGGTGCCCCCACCCAGTGACTGCATCATTGTGTGGTGCCCAGGCGGTCACCAGACCACGCCGCAGGAAGGGCGCGGCACTTTCACCAAACACGAGGCATACGGGGCTGTGCGTTCGGACGCAGAGTGGGCATTCGCGTCAAACCCGGCCCCGGGGGGGCGAAACAAGCCACCTTGGAATTACGCGGAATTGATGCCGCATTCACCAGTAGGTACCGCGTTACGGGCAGCGAGCATCGTGGCGCCAACAAGACGCAAATCGCCAAGTTTCTGACGCCCATCGAATGGTCTGGCGAAGTCCAAGGCGCAGGATGGGACAAAACTACCAGGGTTGCATTTGCCATTGTCGGTCCGGCTCCGCGCGCGCGGCCCCACCATCCGCTGGACCATTCTCAAAGTCAAAGGGCGGGCCCTTGCCAAATCTGGGCCCCCTGAGGCGCCAACGGCCATGATCGCGTCATCAGAGGCCATTGCTACATGGAAACTTGCAGTGGTATCGCCTACATGGGGAGCAGGGTCAACACCTCCCCCACTCCTGCAAGACAGGGCGGTTACCAGACAGCGGGCCCAGGCGGGGCTGAAACCTATGCCGAGTTCGGAAACGCCACCGCCGCCGCTCAACGCGCCGCTGCCAGGGAAAGGCAGCGGCCCCAGATATCCCAGCGGGCGCGTCGCGCAATGGCCGTCCCAGGATTCGATCTTCATTTGAACACGGTGCTATCACCCAAATTGAGGCCGCCATGGGGCCAGGTGGCAAGCGCTGAAAGACATTAGTCGTAGCGCCAAAGCCGAAAGTTCACACAGGCACGTGCAGCCCTCCAAGGGGGTGGGGCGCTCGGCAGAGGTCGGCAAACCATTGCCATGCCCGACGGGACATAAACTAAATTGGCACCATTTACAATGATTGGGGCACCCGTCTCACATGGATCCACGAGCAGTTCTCACGCGACCACGGCGCCGCCGCCGCCGTCAAGCATGACCTGGGCTACTTTGCCAACGCGTGGTTCCTCATTACCAGAATTTTAGCCAAATCCAGTGCGTGCCAAGTCGCCCCTCTCTGTAACTACCTCTGCGGGGGTGGCAACCTTTCGCAGAGGAAGGTCAACGCGGGCATCTTGGCTGACCCATCTCCCCTGTGCAGATGGTAGTACCAACGAGAAAGAAACCCAAGATGACGCGGCGCGGAGATGTCCGTGTTGGGAAAACCAGAGGACTGGTTTTCAAAAGCACGAGCACATGGCAGCAATTCCAGTATCTCCCACCGCGCGCCAGGCGTTGTGGCCTGCTGGAAGAAGACCCAGCCCTCCTCGATATGCAGGCTGCCTTGGCCAAAAATAAGCCCCCCCAGTCAATTCCGCGACCGCCTCGAGGGGGCCCGAGCGAAGAATCCCACCCATAATGCACCGATGGGCACGGAGCCAGATGGGCGTGCGCGGCGACGGTCGGGGCTGGTTCCAACCCTGTTCCTTCCTTGCTGGTGAGGACAGGTTCCGGTGTTTCCATGCGGCCCGACCACGGGCTCAGTCCGCGCAGTGGGCAGAATCGCTGGCCGCGCTCCATCTGGTAGCCACGGCCGAAATACCAGTGCACGTCGTCGTCGACAGCTGTCGACGAGTTCGATGATCAGCTCAGGGGGCATCCGCCGCAACGCGTGGAGCCACAAGCCGACTTGTGGCGGAACATGCACCCGGTGTTTTTGGCAAAACCCGATCTGTTCAAATGCCAAATGGTGGAAAGCCACTGGGGGGAGCAAGGTATCAACGATGGGCGCGCCACTCCGATCGCTGACGCGTTCAATCGACATGCGCACGAACTCGCTACATCAGGAACGAGGTTCCATGGCGCCCCACAAAGCGTGGTGGGCGCCGCCGAGTAGCGACACAAGTTCGCCGCTGCAGTACACACCGCGGCCGATGCCATCTTTGGCCTGCGGCATCAGACGCTGCCGCCCTCTCGCGGGAGACCGGGCCTATCATGGTCGGAGCTCTCAGAGATGGCACCACACCCGTTTAGCATTGGCCAGGGGGGTCACGGCTCAGGCGCACAAGGAACACCACCTCCTATGGACGGGTGGTCTCGACCATCTTGACGAATTCGACCATCTTCGGTTTACACCCACGTACGACTTCGATGGTGAGGACCTCGACCTGGTAGGGTTTGGTGTTTCTTCCACCGACGAGGAGGATAGCGACTTCCCCACTCGCAGACCCTCCTTAACTACAACACTGCTGCGGACTACCCTGTTACATTATACATTAGCTAGCGCCCAGCCTGCCAGCGACAGGGTGAGTCGGAGCGCGGTGGCCACCCATCACGCCCAAGGTAACCGGCCCTTTCATTCTGGCCACCAGGGTTCCGACCATGGTGGCTGCCAGCCGCGGAGTGACGGCCACCAGGTCAGCGGGAACGCCCCACGCACGGATCGCAGGCAAGCGCACATGCAACACTTCACGGCGGCGAACTGCCAGCCGCAAAAGGACCGCGGGAACACTTTTCACCGCCAGCAGCAATCCTGCAGCAGACCTCCCGGCCCGCTGCCGCCATGGGGTACCTTTCCGTGATAACATCCTTCTTCCACGCTCAACGGGCGCCACGGGCTGCCGCGGGGGACGTCCCAGATCGGCGTTCTTCATGTGTCCTAAGTGCTGCATCGCGCAAAGCAAAGAGCGTGTAGCGGCAGCGCTTTTGTCCCGGGGGCGCAGATGGGCCCCATAGCGGCCTGTTCACCGCCGCCCGCCCTTTTTTTCCAGACGGGGTCCGCGGGACCGCGCCAGGGGGGAGGACACACCACCACCCATGATACATGCACGCGGCACCTCCCGCGCGAAAAAGCCGGCCCGCGCGGCGCTCGTAGCCGCGGGGCGCGGCGTCTGACGAATTTTGGTTCGTCCCACCGTTGCGATCGCCCCTTGCCTCTGGCTCCCATCTCCCTTTCCCTCTCCTTCCGTTTCCCCTCCTTCCGCCCGTTCTCCAGGAGCGACGGGATCCCTCGGTTCCAAGTGCCTCCACAACGCTTGGAGCTACTCCACGAGACTCCTGTCTCCACGGAAGGTCCATGCGTGATGCGGGCAGATATGGCGATGTTGTTTCGGGAGTGAAACAGGTTGTGAAGAGGAGGAGGAGCAGGAGGAAACGACGTGTGCAGGTTTGGGAGGGGGGAGGAATGTGGGGCGAAGGTTACCACCGCATGCCTGATGGCATCACGGCCTGATCCATGAGGCACGCGGACTACTCCTGGGCAGTTCATTCATCGATATTTACCGGGGTCTTTCTACAGCGTGGCACGCCGAAGAAGAGAGATGTGCAAGACTCATCAGCCACATGCACTTATGTCAGCGTACGGCGCCCTCCTGCATATTGGAACACACACACACACGAGTGTGCCTCCTTCTCTCCTCTCATTCGCCTTCCACTCCCCTCCCCTCTCCTCTTCCACCCTTTTTCCATTCCTTTTATCTTCATTCGCCAAGGATCTATGTCGACCCGAACGATCCGGCACAATGTCGATACCAGCCAGCCCAATCCGATTTGAGGTAGATGTTCCGACGATCCGTTGCGGCCAGATGATTCCATGGCGCAGTTGTGTCTCCCAGCACGGCTGATCCAATTCGATGTATTGGCTTACGCCGCACCGCCGACCCCTTGGGGCGGCAGCAAGAGTGAAAGACAGAATTCGCGGAACGTGCGCGATCGCTTGGCAATCTTGGGGTTTCGGCTTGTCCTAAGTAGCGTGTGGGGTTCAAGGGGGGCCTTGTAGGGGATTGTTTTGTATGATATCTCAAATGCCCAGGGCGCAAAAGGACGCTTCCCGTTCTTGTCCGGTCAGGTTCCTGTCGATCCCGTGCGGATGCAGCCAGATCCGACCCACATCCCGAGTCGATCCGGTTTTTCGGTTCAGCGCCGCTTGATCTTGCTCTGCTCAGGTCATCCCAAGGGCGCCGACGGGAGCTCCGAGGGGCGACTGGCACCAGGGTTAAGTCGGGCCCGTTCCTCTACAGGGGGAACATTCAAACAAAGTCAAAAATTGTCCAGGGATTTGTTTTGAGTATGTTTTGACCATTTTGGAGTATCCTTCACATATTTTTTATTTTTCGTCGAGAATCCCCCTGTAGGGGGACACGCCCGACTTCAGGGTGGAAGCAGCGGCCCCCAGTCGTCGATTCCTCGCCGACCGGGGCCTGGAGGCCCGCGGATCTGCGGTTGTACTGTCAGAGACCTGTCGCCGAGTGCTCGGCGACGCGGCGTCGATTCTGGACCGTCGTTTCTGTGGTCACTGATTTTGGTGTGCCCGACCCAGCGGTCCAACGTAGTGAAAAAATCAAGATGGAGGTTTTTCGCAGTTTTTGGCCTCCAGGGGCCCTCGCCGGGCCTCGGGACCGTCAAAAAACTACTCAGGATGAAAAACTCGTCCTGGGGAATGGGTCGAGACTTCCGGTTACCCCGTATTGAACAAATCACGACATCGGATCTCTGGGTTTCTGTGGTCACTAATCTTGGTGTGCCCGACCAGCCACACGCCAGGAGCACCCTGGGGTGCGGTTCAACGTGATGGCCATTGCGTCCCTCGCGAAGGCCATGGCCGAGGCCAACATCGTGAACAAAGCGCTCTCCACGAAGGAGGGGTCGCAGTCCTCCTCGTCATTCCCAGACCTCCTTGCGCTGTGAACAAAAAGAAGAAGAAGACGAAGAAGAAGAAGAAGAAGAGAGCAAAACCACCGGAGCGTTTGCCCAAACAATCAGTTGAACGGGATAGAGTTGTAATCGTAGCTAATTCCAGTCGGGGGACGAGCTCGCACCGTCATCCTCAAGAGTGGTCTGGGCCGTTTCGCCCGAGATCACAACTTTCGATTCTAAGTTGGCCAGGATCGGGCGGTTCGCCTGAGACATCCTCGCAACTCTGGACTCCGAGATGCGGCGCGCGAAGTGGTCCGGCCCGTTTCGCCCGAGAAATCTTTGCAATTCTGAGCTCCGAGACGCCGCGCGCGAGGTGGCCCAGCGCGTTTTGCTTGAGATATCCTTGCGCTCCTGAGTTTGAAGAGGCCGCGTGCGAGGTGGTCCAGCGCGTTTCGCCTGAGACATCCTCGCAACTCTGGGCTCCGAGATGCTACGCGAGAAGTGGTCTGGTCCGTTTCCCCTGAGACATCCTTGCAACTTGAGCTCCGAGATGCTGCGCGCGAGGTGTTCAAGACCGTTTCTCCTGAGACATTCTCGCAACTCTGGTCTCCAAGACGCCGCTCGCGAGGTGGTCCGGTGCGTTTCGCCTGAGACATCCTCACAAGTTTGAGCTCTGGGATGTCGCCCGCGACATGGTCCGGGGTGTTTCGCCTGAGACATCCTCGCAACTCTGAGCTCCGAGCTGCCGCGCGCCAGGAGGTCGGGCGCGTTTCGCCTGAGACATTCTCGGAACTCTGGGCTCCGAGATGTCGCGCTTGAGGTGGTCCGGCGCGTATCGCCTGAGACATCTTCGTTATTTTGAGCTCGGAGATACTGCGCGAGAGGTGGTCAGGTCCCTTTCTCTTGAGACATCCTCGCAAGGTTGATCTCCAAGATGCCGCTCGCGATGTGGACAAGACGGTTTCGCCTGAGACATCTTCTGGCTTCCAAGACGCCGCGCTTGAGGTGGTCTGGCGCGTTTCGCTTGATACCTCCTCGCAACTCTGAACTCCGAGCTGCCGCGCGCGAGGTGGTCCAGCGCTTTTCGCCTGAGACATCCTTGTAACTCTGAGCTCCGAGATGCCGCACGCGAGGTGGTCTAGCGCGTTTCGCCTGAGACATCCTCGGAACTCTTAGCTCCGAGATGCCGCTCGCGAGGTGGTCCGGCGCGTTTCGCCTGAGACATTTTCGTCCTTCTGAGCTCAGAGATGCTGCGCGATAGGTGGGCCGGGGTGTTTCGCCTGAGACATTCTCGCAAGTTTGAGCTCCGAGCTGCCGCTCGCGAGGTGGTCAAGAATGTGCCTGAGACATCCTCGCAACTATGGCTTTCCAAGACGCCGCGCTTGAGGTGGTCCGGCGCGTTTCGCCTGAGACATCCTCGCATCTCTGAGCTCCTAGCTGCCGCGCGCGAGGTGGTCCAGCCCTTCTCTTGAGACATTCTCGGGACTCTGGGCACCGAGGGAGCTGAGGGAGGAGGGAGGAGGGTCAGACAAAAACGAACCAGTTGATTATATTTATGCTGTTGAATTGTGCTCTGGGAGGTGTCTGGGCGCCGTCTGATCCATCCTCGCATGCCTTGCTCGAGGTGGTCTGGCACGTTTCGCCTGAGACATCCTGAGCTCCGAGATGCAGCGCGCGAGTTGGTCCGGGGCGTTTCGTTTCGTCTGAGACATCCACCCATTTTTGGGCTCCGAGCGAGAGGAGGGAGGAGAGAGGAGGGGTCAGATCCAAACGAACCGTTTGATTACAATTCCATTGACGAATTGCGCTCTGGAGAGAGTCTGGGCGCCGCCCGATCCATCCTCGCATGCCGCTCGAGAGGTGGTCCAGCGCGTTTCGCCTGAGACATCCTCGCAACTCAGGGGTCTGGGACGCCGCGCGCGAAGTGGTCTGTCACGTTTTGCTTGAGAAGTCCATGCAACTATGGGATCCAAGACGTCTCGTGCGAGTTGATCCAGCGCGTTCCGCCTTAGACATCCTCGTAGATCTGAGCTCCGAGTTGCCGCTCGCGAGGTGGTCCGGCGCGCATCCTCGCAATTCTGGGCTCCGAGAGGCAGGAGGGAGGAGGGAGGAGGGGAGAGGCTTTTCTGTTGTCGACTTGTACCCCATCCTCGCAACTCTGAACTTTCAGATGTCGTGCGCGAAGTGGCTCATGTCGTTTTGCGTCAGACATCCTCGTAACTGGGCTCCGAGATGCGACGCGCGAGGTGGTCCTGCGCGTTTCGTCCGAGACATGGTTGCAATTCTGAGCTCCGAGACGCCGCTCGCGAGGGCGACCGCTGGTTTCGCCGACCGCTGGTTTCGCCCGGCAGGTTTCGCCCGGCTGGTTTCGCCGCCCGGCGAAACCAGTTCCGTCGGCAAAACCAGCTCCGTCGGCGAAACCAGCTGCAGTCGGCGAAACCAGCTGCCGTCGGCGAAACTGTCCGACCCGACCCGCCCGCTAGGGTCCGACCGCCCGACCCGACCCGCCCGTTAGGGTTCGCGCGTGCTCAGCCCACTTCAATGTCCCGCCCGCCCGACCCGACCCGCCCGTTAGGGTCCGCCCGTCAGGGTCCGCCCGCCCGACCCGACAGGACCCGCCCGCTAGGGTCCGCTCGCCCGACCCGACCCGTCCGTCAGGGTTCGCGCGTGCTCGGTCGAGCGCACCCCACACTTTAAATGTCCCGCCCGCCCGACCCGACCCGCCCGTTAGGGTCCGCCCGCCCGACCCGACCCGCCTGGTAAGAAGGTTCGCGCAAACTTGGTAGAGCGTGCCCCACATTTTAATGTCTCGTCCGCCCGACCCGACCCGCCCGTCAGGGTCCGCCCGCCCGACCCATCCCGACCTGCCCGCTAGGGTCCGCCCGCTCGACCCGACCCGCCCGCTAGGGCTCGCGTCGGCGAAACCGGTGCCAACGAAACCAGCGCCGGCGAAGCCAGCCGCCGGCGAAACCAGCGCCAGCGAAACCAGCGCCGGCGAAACCAGCGCCGGCGAAACCAGCGCAGGCGAAACCAGCCGTCGGCGAAACCAGCGGGGCGAAACCAGCGCCGGCGAAACCAGCTCATGCGCGCGCGAGGTGGTCCAAACAGTTTCGCTTGAGACATCCTCGCAACTCTGATCTTCGAGATGCCGCTCGCGAGGTGGTCTGGCCCGTTTCGCCTGAGACGTCCTCGCAAGTCTCTGCTCCGAGACGCCGCTCGCGAGGTGTTCTGGCGCGTGTCGCCTGCGACATCCTTGCAATTATTTGCCCCAAGATGCGGCGCGCGAGGTGGTCTGGCGCGTTTCGCGACATCCTCGCCTCTCTGGGCTCCGAGATGTTACGCCCGATGTGATCCTGCGCGTCTCGCCTGAGACATCCTCGCAATCTGGGGTACGACAAGTTGCACGTGAGGTGGTCCAGCCTCCAGCCCGTTTCGCTGGAGACATCCTCGCAATTCCGGGCCCCGCAAACAGCGCAGGGACTGATGCCCTGAACTTGCATCAGCTCGGGCCCCAATGCTGCGGGCAAGTGTTGGTGCCGGTCGCAGTGAAGGGCAGATTGTGCAGCGCAGTATGAGAACAGTGCAGCTTTTTCAAAACAGGGAGGGGCACACACAATGAGACAGCGAGGCAGGCGGTCCTTGGTTGTCTCTTTATGCAGTGTCCCTGACACGCAAAGAAAACAGCAAACCTGAGGCGGGAAGAAGTCGTCGGCCCCCAGACGGCACGAGAACGAGACGGCGGATGAAACAGCGCCGATCTTCGCACTGAGACTCAGGGGAGGAGGTACTGCAGAATAACATTTCCTGCCAGCCAGAGTGGCTTGCCTCATCTAAGTGCCGCAATCTTAGTCCGAGCATGCGTACTGCCGTCATTTTCTGCTTGGTTGTCTGCACGCCAGCACAGCCCTCGACATCCCATGCAGTGCCAAGCAGAGGTACACGGGCGAAGGGACGTGAACTTGCGGGTGCGGCATCGCAGGTCGCTCAAGGAAGGGGGGCCTTCGCACGTGTTGTGTGCTGTCAGTTGCACCAATACCACTGGCTGCGGTCACTTGGGACCCTGGCCAGAGAGCATGAGAGAGGCATGCGGCAGGCTGGCAGCTGCCGTAGAGCTGCTCAACCTGGCGGGGGGGATAGCTCTGTGTGGAACAGGTGTGGCCTCGCACGTGTGGTGCGCTTTCGGGTGCACCATCAGTCCCGGCTGGGCTCCCGCGGGCCTTTGGCAAGTGAGCAGTCGAGAGGTGTGCGTCTGACTATGCGGGACGCTGATCATTTCTTGGAGTTTGTACAACTCGATGCGTCAACATCGGTGCATCAGCAAGAGAAGGCGGGGGGTGGGAAGCGGCAGCGGCTTGCTCTATCGAACAGACCCTGCCGGAAAGATGTACCTGCAGCCGCTTGCGCTACGGCGAGGTGTGCTCTGACTTTTGCAGCATTTGCCCTCCTGTGTGCACGTGCGTGCTCGCGGTTCCTGGCAATTCGAGCCCGAACCTCATCCGACATCTGCACAGGCTGTGGATGAGGGGGGCGTGGGTGCCGAGCTTGGGGGTCCCAAAATTGGCTCGCCCAAGAAAGATTGAGCATCAATGTATTCGTGCTCCTCGTCCGCCTTAGGTGGCCCTGGCGGCCTTGGCGTGGCAGTGGGGTCTGAGACGTCACCACCCTGTTCGTTCCGTGTTGCTGTAGGCTCGGGCGGGTAACAACTATTGATTTCGGGATCGGCCCGTCGGGTCCGAGTCGCACGCGACACAAAACCGTGGACCCATTCTTCGCACTGCCCCTTGTACGAACCCCACGATACATAACCTTTCAAAAGCGCATCGCGGATCTCTTTTGCTTTCCCCCATACGTATCTTCAGGCACCGTATCGTTGCAATTTCTGGTCAACATCGCATGAGCGAATCGATCATGCGATCTGTGAACCTCTTACATCGTCGGTCTGGGTAGGTCTTCTTCTTGGCGGTCCCCGGTTGTCTGCGAGTAACGTCGTAGCGCAGCAATTGTTCATGCCCTCTCTTTTCATGTGAGCACCTGCCTCTGCCGTCCGTATCCAATAGCCTATTGTGTGAGCCTGGAACACGTCCACAATCTTGTTTGGTGCTCTGGACGACTGACCGTGGTCTCACTGATCAACATCGAGTGCAACGTGAAGGACGTCACAGACTGGATACGCCAATCCTATGGTTGTGGGTGTTCCAGCCATCAGCTTGTACCGACTGTGAGGTGCGCGGCGAAGAGTGTGACCATCGTTTCTAGCAGTGCGTTCCCTACCCACACCTGTTCCATCTGTCGTGGTGTGAGTGCAACCTTTCCCCAATAACCGTCATGCGTCCGTCATGGGGATGGGCCGATACCTTCAGGCTACCTCGCGGCAGACACTGCGTCACGTGGTGGGCCCACTCCCGACGAAACGAACAGCTTCGCCAGTTCATGTTCCTTTCATCTGCCAAGTATGTCAGCATTCATCATGCCACCGAGCGTCGCATGATGAAAGTACAACAACAGCACAGTCGGGCAAGGTAGTGTGCCCATTCCACTTGTCCCTGAATATCCCCTCCCTGCCGTCGACCACAGTACAGGTTCCGCACATAGTACTCTACACGTCGCACTGTACATGGGATGGGGTCTGCAGACACGCCTGTATACTGTTCCAGAAGAATCGAATGCGCTGTATGCTTTTCCGTAGTCTGATGAGCTTGTGGCGGAGCAGGCGGCGGTGTTGGCAGCGGTGGCGGCGGTGGTAAGCAATCGGCGTCCAGATCGGTCTCCGCCGTGCGTGTTTTAACCGTTTGCTGCGTTCTTGCCGCCATTATTCGGTCGACTTCGGGCTCCAGGGCCCCCGACGCCCACATGGTCCTGGGATCACCACGTGCCGCCTCGAAAGCCGAGCTCCTCCTTTGAGCAAACCCTCCTGGGTCCCTACTTCGGCATGCTCCAAATGATATCCTGGGTTCTGTCCCGTGGCAAGTAGGACATACATGCATCTCGGCGAGACCGAAGCGAAACTATAAATTAGACATGCCCAGTTGTGGAACACCATTAGGCATGCCTGGCATCGCCTGTCTGGGGGCGCATATGCACGTGCCAGGTCGGTCTGTCTACGATGCCTGCGTGCCACATGTACCCGATTCGCTGTGCCAGATTCCCTAGCACTTCACGGGCAGATTGCGATACTTACCCGGACCGTCAGTGCATCACTAAGGATACCTTTGCATTCAGTGTATACCCGCTATGGCACACCGACAAGTCTTACTGCATCAATGAGATTTGTGGGAATTTGTTCGATTGTGTTTGCACGCATGTCTGCCTGCGCTGCGCATAGAGAGCTTGCCCTCGTAGTCGTTCCCAGGCTGACGGGCTCCTCTTTGCAAGTGCATCCCAAGGCCCCGTGTCTGAACGCGGCGGCGGCGCAGGCGCGGCTCGCAGAGTGCAGCCACTCTAAATCTTCCAGTAGGAGACTCAACTCTTCGCCCATGTTTGTGGGTCTTTGGCCGTGGATGTCAAAAAAACGTCCGTGACCTCGCGGGGGCCGCTGTTGCTGCGGGCCCCGCTCCCGGCAACGCAGAGGCGAGAAGGGGGCCACTGAGGAGCAACGATCCATACAGTCGTAACTTGGATGCTCGCAAGAGTAGTATCGGTGACGGTCGTTGGAGTTTAGCCAATGCCATTTGGTCGGACGATAATGATTCGTTCTCGACGTTGCTCGCGCGGGCAGCCGCACGATATAGACACCTTCATGAGATCGATCCCGCGGCTGTTTCGGTTCCCTGGCAGACAGGGCAGGCCAGCCGCTGCATTGCACAAATGGCCCGACATGACGAAACAGTCTGCAGACAGCATCAGTCCCGACACAGACAAGGTATCGGTGGCAAACACGCGTCCTCGCAGCGTCTGAAACGGTGCACCTGTGTTACTTGCACGATGCCGCGACTCAGGCCCCATGGCTCCGCCGTTGGTCGATGACCGATCCCAAGTGAGTAGTTGTGTACCACAGGAACTGTGAGTGGGCCGAGCAGGTTGGACGTCGCTTGTAGTGCGCTACCGTGCTGCTGCCAACTGACTCGCTTTGCCTGCTTTCTTCTGCGGCCCCTCGGAGACATAATTGTTGCAGTCCTGCTCTGCCCCACATTCAGCGAGTGCCCCCGCGTAGCAAAAACTTCGATCACTACCACCTGCACCCGACACAGGTCGATATATATGTCTGTAGGTATACATGTGTGTGTGTGTGTCGGCATGTGTATGTCTGCATGTATGTATGTAGGTAAGTACGTATATAGGTAGGTAGGTAGGTCGGTATGTAGGTAGGCAGGTATGTATGTATTAGTGTATGTTTGTATGCATGCATGCATGCATGTGTGCATTTATGTATGAATGCGTGCATGCATGCATGCATGCATGTATGTATGAATGTATGTATGGATGTATGAATGTATGTATGTATGTCTGCATGCATGTATGTATGCATGTGTATGGATGTGTGCATGTACGTGTGCATGTAGGTATGTATGTATGCCTGTCTGCATGTATACATGTATGTATGTATGTATGTATGTATGTATGTATGTATGTATGTTTGTTTGTAGGTATGTATATATGCATGTATGCATGCATGTATGTATGTATGTATGGATGCATGTATGTGTGTATGTAGGTATGTGCGTATATGTGTATCGGTGTATATACGTGTGTGTGTGACTGTGTGCATGTATGTATGAATGTGTGTATGTATGTGTGCATGCATATACGTATATACGTATATATACACATGTGTGAACGCGTATCTATATACATGTACTGTTTTGTCCGGTGCCAGTACCAACATGTTCGTGCCATCACCTGCGAATGCAATGCAATGACCGACCATCAATGGTCCTGTAGCAGTGGCATCCGTATTGGTGCACATGTCCCCTGGTCAGACCCACACGAACCGTTTGATTACTCGGCTGTTGTCGAATTGTGCTTTGCGATGGGTCGTGGCGTCGGCCCGACTGAGAAGGTAGCTGGCGCCGAGGTGGACCCTGGGGGGGGGGTCTGAGGAGGGAGGCCCTGCTTGAGAAAGTCGTGAGCGAGAGCGCGGTGAGCAGGGAGGAGGGAGGATGGGGCAGGAGAAAGGAATGATGAAACATAATGATGGAGGAAGGGAGCGGGACCAGGCCCAAACGACCTTTTTGAGGGCATCCTTGGCGAGGATGCCTCCTGGAAGCGGCGTCGAGAGTACGAGGGCATCCCTGGCATGGCGGAAATAGCGGAGAACAGGATGGACGAGGAGGAGGAGGAGTAGAAGGAGGAGGAGTAGAAGGAGGAGAAGGGGGAGGAGGAGGAGGAGGAGGAGGAGGAGGAGGAGGAGGAGGAGGAGGAGGAGGAGGAGGGAAGAGGAAGAGGAAGAGGAGGGAGGAGGAAGAGGAGGAGGAGGAAGAGGAGTATGAGGAGGAGCGGGACGGGGAGGACGAGGAGGAAAGGGAGGAGGAGGAGGCGGTTACACCGCTACTTGTTAGAGGGCACATGCGCAAGGATCGGTCAGCGGTAAGAGGAGGAGGAGGAGGAGGAGGAGGAGGAGGAGGAGGAGGAGCTGACTGGTCCACCACGGTGGGGGCATCATTTTAAGGATTTGCAGCGTCGCTAGCATCATCATCCTCTCCGTCGTTAGCATCATCACCGTCACCACGCAACCAGCAGTTGTCATCATCGTCGTCACCAGCATCATGATCACCATCGCCATCATCGTCATCACCATCATTGCCATCATCATCATCGTCATCATCATCATCATCATCACCATCATCATCATCATCATCATCCACAGCGGTTTCGGCTCTCGGACGCGAGTAGCTCGCTTTTGCTTTTCGCGCTCCCCCCCAACCACCAGCAGCCGCCATGGGCAAGACGGCAGGTGACGCGGGGACCCCGTCGCTTGCGAAGAAGGCGGCGGCCGCGGCGGCCTCACCAGCCGCTGCCTTTGGCGCGCCGGCCGCCGCTGCCTCTGGCGCGCCGCCCGCCGCTGCCTCTGGCGCGCCGCCGGCCCTGTGCATCGCGCAGCTCCTCGAGACGGACCACGCGTCGATGCAGCAGGGTCACGTCAAGGAGCGGGTGCGCCAAGTGAAGCACCACGTCGACCATAGTTTGCTCAGCTTCCTGGGGCAGCGCAAGCGCGAGGTGTCCTTCGCGGTGCCCGCCAATTCTTCTTTGATTCCGCTGTTGGTCATCGCTGATGCTGCCTCTGGCGCAAACCACAGTTCGTTTCGCGAGGTCATGGACTACGACAACCTGGTTGCGAGCTTCTCCCGCGCCAAGGAGTGCGAGGCAACGGGGGCGGCGTGGGTGTTGGGCCCGATTCGCTCGGACGTCGACGACGTCGCCGTAAGCCAGCTCGAGGGTGCCATGGGCATGCGGTCGGAGGAGGCGTACTCCATCTCTTCCAAGCACGCGCGTTCGCGGCGCCTCTCCTTCGACTTGCCTATCCCCGCCTTGGCGGTCGACGTCGAGGTCGCCCAGCGGTTTCAGCCTAACAAGCCTGGAGTTTGCTTGGCAGAGGCTCTGGCCACGCTCGCGGGGCGCGCGGTGGTCATCGCGTGGCGCGCTGCTATGAGCGAGGCGCTCCAGCAGTCCAACGAAGACCGCGTGTGGCATCTGTTCAATGCCGCGTTGTCAGTGCCCATCAGGATGCGCTTGCTGCCTGATGGCGACGCGACCCACTTGGCCGCTCTGGCATTTTCAGAGGAGATGTTCTCTGCGTACGCTGCCTCTGGCGCTGAGTCCTTCTGGCGGTTCGCAGAGAAAAAAGAACGCGCCGCTTGACCAACGTGGGGAACTGTTTCGCCAAACAGGAACCAGCGTCGAGGCTGGGGGCTGCGCTGAAGGCCTACGGCCTCCAGCTCAAAGGAAAAGCGCGCACCGCTGCAACCGCCGCGGCGCTGAAAGGTCTGCGCCCTTTCGCCCATCGACGGCGCCAGCAGTTCGGCTTTCGCGCTGGCCGAAGTGCATTTTCCAGAGCTTCGCGACCCTGCGCTTCTCATGAGGATCGGCTTCGCCTGCTCCACGAGGGCTGGTTCTGACGCCAAGGCCAGGGAATTGCTCGTTTTCACCATGCACAGTTTCCGCGTGGCCCTCTTGACGGGCGACGCCCCGAAGGGCGAGAAACTGGTCGCGGGCCGGGTCGTCGGGCGCGATAGGTAGACACCAGGGGTGCCCCACGCGCTCTTCAAGAAAAAGGAGCTCGTCGAGTACATCTTCCACGAGGCGTTTCTCATGAACAAGGCAGTGGGGAACGACGTGGCGGCATTTAAGACGCCTCTCCGCATCCTCCAGAAGGTCGCTGCCTCTGGCGCGGATGGGCTCGCGGTTTCGCACCGCGCGTCCGGCTCAGGCGGCGGCGCCGACGGGGCGCGGGCAGTGTTTGCGCTCCCCGTGGCCGAGGATCGGAACGCCGTGGATGCCAAGACGAAGGCGATGATCGACGTCGCGCGGCCTCTGTGGTCGAGCGCCTTCGACGACGAAATTGCCGAGCTTGCCCAGCAGGAGTTGGAGGACAGCACCACTGGGTTCGTCTGGCGCACGTGCCTCGCCGAGACCAGCCAGGGCGTTGGTGCCAAGTACCGCGCCTTCGCGGCCGCGCGCGCGGGCGGGCCGATCCCCGCCGGCCCCGATCTGGATGCAAACCTCGGCTTGTTGGGGATGTCCGAGCTCGGGGGCGAGCAAAAGGCAGAGCTCCAGAAGCTCCAGGAGCAGCTCAAGCAGTTCCGCAGGAAAACTGCGAAGTTCGTCAGTTTGCCGTCTGTCGGCGGTGCCTCTGGCGCGGAGTACGCAGTGGCGCAGATGCAGGGCTTGTGGGATACGCTCAGCCTCGGGCACCGTTTTGGGAGGGGGAAGAACGACGTTCGCGCGTTCATCCTCTCAGCGGAATTGTTCCCGCCCAACGTCGTCAAGCAAGGCGCCAAGGCGAGGGTGAACGAGCAGACGGCGCGTGACGAGGCGATGCTCAAGCGCGCCATCGAGTTCTTCTTGCAGAAGAGGCAGAAGGATGATGTCCTCATCTTCCTCGACGGCAGGAGCCGCGCGAACCGCAGGGTAATTGAGTCCTTCGATGCGAAGTTGGAGTCCGGGGGCGCCCGCGCGCACGTCGAGCGCTGGTTCGCGCGCGAGCAACCGGCGAAGACGGTGGGCCCGCGGTCCGCGGCCAGGGCGTCGAGCTACACGAAGAATAAACAGGGGGGCGGCCATTTTCTCGACGCCGCTCAAGGGCCCGCCGCGGAAAGCGGCGCACCGTGCGGAGTTCAACGCGCGCGGCGAGTCCTCGACCGCAGACGCGTCATCCAGCGGCATCCCAATGCGGCGTTTCTCCGAGCTCCCTCGCATGGACCACGAGGCGAAGATGAGCATCTTGGGAGCTGCACCTTGCGCTAGCGTCGACGGGGGGCAACCGCGCCCGCAGGGGGACATCGACTCGAAGGGCCACCCGTTCTCGCACACCGAGGTGAAGCCGCTCAGCTTGTGGCAGACTCTCGTGGAGCACAACGAGGTGGCCCGCGTCGTGGACTTCGCTCCAGCTCCTGGCGCTTTGGCTGTTGCTGCCTCTGGCGCAATTGAGCACGAAGGCAGCGCTGCCAACGATGCGCACCGGGACTGGCTCGATTCCATCGTGGACACGCGCGCGATGCACAAGGCGGGCCACGAGGAGGGGTGCGCGGAGCAATTGGGCGGCGACGCCGAGTTCGTCGAGAAATCCAGCAAGTATTTCAGCGGAACCACGATGGAGGCGAAACGTCTGTTGATGCCAGTGGCCGGGGACGGCGAGGGTGAGGAGGAGGGGGAGGATGGCGCGAGCTCGGACGACGAGTAGGTGGGCAGTTGACACACTGCCTCTGGCGTGCCACGACGCTGCCTCTGGCGCGCCCGTTGCCGCGTGAGAGGTCGCTCGAGCATTCGTTTCCGAGAGGGGCCCAGTGGCATCGGTTCTGGGGATATGTTCTGCGGCGGCGCGCGACAGTGACGTAGGCCCCGCGGCTGTCGGCGGCGTCGGCTCTTCTGAGGCGCGAATTCTGCGGCAGCGCTCGGCTCGGAAATGGAGATATCGCACCCGCCACTGCCATCGCCGCAGGTCGCGGCGGTCGCGATGTCGCCGTCGTCATCGCCATCGGCGCAATCATGCTATTTGTGGTTATGTTCCGTCATGTTCTCATGGTGTTGGTTACCATATCCCGCGTCTCCTGCTCAGTTTTCCTATGGCCGCGCTTAGTTTTCTCATGGTCGGGACTAGTTTTCCCCTCGTCGGATCTAGTTGTTCCTCGGGTCGGGTCTAGATGTTCTCTGGTCAGGTTTAGTTGTTCCCTGGTCGGGTCTGGTTTTCCCTTGGTCGGGTTTACTTTTTCCGTTGGTCAGGTTTAGTTTTTTTTTTTTTTTTGTTTTTTTTTTTTTTTTTTTGTTTTTTTCTGGTCTGGTCTAGTCCGCCCCTGGTCGGGTCTAGCTTTCCCCTGGTCGGGTCTACTTTTCTCTTGGGTCAGGCCTAGTGTTTTCTCTGGTCTGGTCTAGTTCTTCCCTGGTCGGGTGTAGTTTTTCCCTGGTCGGGTTTAGTTTTTTTCTTTTGTCGGGTCTAGTTTTTCCTGTGGTCGGGTGTAGTTTTTCCCTGATCGGGTCTAGGTTTCCTCTGGTCGGGTTTAGTTTTCCCCTGGTCGGGTCTAGTCTTTCCTTTGGCCGGGTCTAGTTGTTCCCCTTGTCGGGTTTCCTTTTCCTCTGGTCGGGTCTAGTTGCCCCCTGGTCGGGCATAGTTTTGTCCGTCGGTCGGGTTTAGTTTTTCTTTGGTCGGGTCTAGTTCCCCCCTGGTCGGGTCAAGTTTTCCTTTGGTCGGGTCTAGTTTTTTTCCCCTGGTCTGGTCTAGTTCTTCTTTGGCATTGTCTAGTTTCCCCTTTGGTCGGGTGTAGTTTTCCCCTGGTCGGGTTTAGTTGTTCCTTTGGTCGGGTCTAGTTTTTCTCTGGTCGGGTGTAGTTGTCCCTTGGTCGGGGTTAGTTGTCATTTGGTCGGGTCCAGTTTTTCCTTTGGTCGGGTCTAATGTTTCTCTTCTCGGGTCTACTTTTCCCTGGTCGGTGTAGCTTTCTCCCCGTCGGGTCTAGTTTTTTGTGGGGGGGGTGGGGCGTGGTTAGGTTTTGTTTTCTCAGGTCGGGTCTAGTTTTTCCCTGGTCGGGTTTACTTTTTGTCTCTGCTCGGATCTAGTTTTCCCCTGGTCGGATTTAGTTTTTCCGATGGTCGGGTTTAGCGTTTCCCTGGTCGGGGAAAAGTGAACCCAGGCCCGCGGGGCCAGAGGCGGCCTGAGCCAGATCCACCACTCCCTTACTTTCCTACCTCTCTCTCCATCCATCTCTTTGTCGCTCTCGCCGACCCCCTCGCCCACTTCCTCGCTCGGACAGCCGCGTGGCCCAAACATCAGCGGGGTCAGGGGGCCCCGCTTCGCCGCCGCCAAGGGGAACTTGCGGGGCGAAGCCGCTGCGGGCGCGACGTTCCCACCCCTCGTTCCTCGCAGGCCTCCCGCCCGCCCGGGCTCCAGGGAGTAGGCTTGCTCCGAGTGCGGGGCGGCCTGTGCGGGAAGCAACGCCCCGCGGCCGCGTCTGCGTCGCCCCCCGTTCCCCTCGCGCCCTCCGCGAGCTGCCTCTGGCGCGCCCCAGATGGCGACGCCCGGGGGCCCTCGGGTGATTCGCAAGAAGCGAGCCGCCACCGACGATGGCAGCGGGCCCTCTGACAGTCAGTCCTCGCCGCCGACGATAGCAGGCCACTTGCAGAAGGTGCGACTGGCCCACCTGGCGCAGGTCCGATCCCCAGCGCCCCCGGCGAACAAGCCGGCGAACAAGGCTCAGCGGTTGGAGCCGGCCCCCCCGCCTCAGTTCAAGGGCGGCCCGCCGTTGCGCGAGACAGAGGGCGACGACGACTCCATGGGCCTCTCGGACGCGTCGCTGTTCATGTCGGGCGAGGACAGTTCAGCGTGGGGAAGAGGGCGGGGGGGGGGGTGCTCAATCCGGCTGCCCCTTGTCCAGTCGGCTTTTGCTGCCCAGCCAGCCGGCCTCGCCCATGCCCCTCCACCCCGTCATGCGGGGAGCGCGGAGGCGGAAAAGCGACTGGCATGCCGTCGCTTCTCTGTCCGGGGCAGGCAGCAGCCAGATTGATCGAGCCTCGCCCGCCCTCCGCTCCGCTGCCGAGGACGGGCGGAAGGCTACAGGTTCTTTCATCAGCCTCTCCATGCAGAGCCCAAGCAGGCCGTCCTGGGCACACTTCCAAGGAGAGAGGAGGGCGGTGACAGATAGGTGGCAGGAGGGGGACAGCAGCAGTAGAAGGGGGAAGAAGTGGGAGAGGAGGGGGAGGCCGGAGGAGGAAGGAGGGGTCGAAGGAAGGGGGGGTAGAAGAGGGGGGCGCCGACGGCGCCCACTGCCGACAGGGCGGGCGCGGCGAGGAGGAGGAGGAGGAGGAGGAGGAGGAGGAGGAGGAGGAGGAGGAGGAGGGGGAAGAGGAGGATGGGGGGGGGGGAGGAGGAGGAGGGAGAGGGGCAGGCGGGGGGAGGAGGGGCGGGGGGCGAGCTGGAGAGGGTGGAGGAGGAGGAAGGGAAGACGGAGTCGAGGACGAGCAAAAATAAAGGAGAGTAGCACCCAAGGCTGACCATCGCCGCCAAGGTCGAGATCGCGCCCAAGGCCCAGTCGATTGCGACTCGGACCTCGGCGCCAGAGGTCTTCAACCCAGACTCAGCCTCGCCCCCGAGGAAGGTCGCCAGGGTCGAGGGCGATGGGGCTCCCCGCCATGGGCGAAGTGGACGCAGGCACTGCCTCTGGCGTGCCCCGCCGTGGCGAGCGCGCCCCAACGCGAAGCGGTCTCAGGGGGCTGCCTGAAGCGGCCGAAGGGTGCCCGCCAACTGACCGCCCTCAGGAAGCGGCCTCAGGAAGCGGCCAGAATGCACTGCCTCTGGCGTGCCCCGACAATTCACCGCCCTCAGGAAGCGGGCAGAACAAGAGCAACCCTTGGGAAGATCTTCGCTAGGAGATGGTTGCCCGAGACACTGCCTCTGGCGTGGCCGACTCACTGCCTCTGGCGCGCCCGCGACGCGGCCTCTGGCGCGCTTTCTGCGGCCGAGGCGGCGTCGCGGCAGCTGGCGCCGCAACGCTTGCGAGCGGAAAAACTAGTCGTCGTCGTCGTCGTCGCCACCATCGTAGTCGCCATCATGACCACCGACGTCATCAGCGCAATCAGCGACACCATGACCACCGACATCGCGACCAGGAAAAATACACCCGACCAAAGGAAAAACTAGACCAGACCAGGGGAAAACTAAACCCGACCAGGGAGAAATTAGACCCGACCAACGGAGCAATTAGACCCGACCAGGGGAAAACTAGACCCGACCAGAGGACAACTAAACCCGACCAGAGAAAACTCTGCCAGACCAAAGGAAACACTAGACCCGACCACCGGAAAAATTAGATCCGACCAGGGGAAAACCAGATCCGACCAGGGAAACACTAGACCCGACCACAGGGAAAAGTAGACCCGACGAGGGGAAAAACTAGACCCGACCAAAGGAACAACTTAAACCCACCGACCAGGTGAAAACTAGAAAGGAAAAACCAGGCCCGGCCAAAGGAAAAACCATACCGGACCCAGGGACAACTAGACCCGACCAGGGGAAAACTAGACTTGAGTAGTGAAAACTAGACCCGCTCTGGGAAACAATTACACCCGACCAAAGGAAAAACTAGACCCGACCAGGGAAAAGCCAGACCCGACCAGAGGAAAACTAAACCCGACCAGGGAAAACCTAGACCCGACCAAAGGACAACTAGACCCGACTTGGGGAAAACTAGACCCGACCAGGGCAAAATCAGACCCGACCAGAGAAAAACTAGACCCGACCAGGGGAAAACTAGATCCGACCAAAGGAAAACTCGATCCGACCAAGGGAAAAATATACCCGACCAGAGGAAAACTAAATTCGACCAGGGAAAAACTAGACCCAAGCAAAGGAAAACTAGATCCGACCAGGGAGCAACTATGCCCGACCACATGGAAAACTAGACCCGACCAAGGGAAACATATCCCGGCAAAGCAACCTAACAGCGATGTGTAGAAGCATATCTGAAAGCATTCCCCTTAAGATTCAGATGAAAACCCAGTTGTAGAATTCTGCTGTTCTCGCAGTCGTAGTCGCATTCGCGATGACAGTCGCAGCGGCAACGGCAGTCGCAGTCACAGCCTCAGCCTCAGCCTGCCTCAGCCTCAGCCTCAGCCTGCCTCAGCCTCAGCCTCAGCCTCAGCCTCAGCCTCAGCTGCCTTCAGCCTCGGCCTCAGCCTCAGCCTCAGCCTCAGCCTCAGCCTGCATCAGCCTCAGCCTCAGCCTCAGCCTGCCTCAGCATCAGCCTGCTCAGCCTCAGCCTCAGCCTGCCTCAGCCTCAGCCTCAGCCTGCTTCAGCCTCAGCCTCAGTCTGCCTTCAGCCTCGGCCTCAGCCTCAGCCTGCCTCAGCCTCAGCCTGCCTCGGCCGCAGCATCAGCCTGCCTCAGCATTCAAAATGTGGCCCAGGAATGGAGTTCTGGGAACTAGAAGAACACGAAGTGGCCTACAGTTGGCTCCGGGCATTCAAAATCATGCCCAGGAATGGAGTTCTGGGAACTTGAAGAGCACGAAGTGGCCTACAGTTGGCTCCGGGCATCCAAAATGTGGCCCGGGAATGGAGTTCTGGGAAATCGAAGAGCACGAAGTGGCCTACAGTTGGCTCCGGGCATCCAAAATGTGGCCCGGGAATGGAGTTCTGGGAAGTCGAAGAGCACGAAGTGGCCTACAGTTGGCTCCGGGCATTTAAAATGTGGCCCGGG